TTCCTGGCAACATTCCTCCATCTTCTGACCTTTAGAATCTGTAGATCTTCTTCCGCATCATCAATCTATCTCCTTCGTGGTCTGCTTCTTGGTCCTCTGGTTTTGAAAATGTTAATCTGTTCGTGTATTCGTGTGATCTGACATCCTAGCAATGTACCTAGCCGATTTAAGTCTCTGCACTTTAACGAATATCTGGATCGGTGTATAACTGATATAACTGATATACTGGAGTGTAGATTTTATACGCAGATGCTAACAGAATAATGCCTCTATAGTTCTTACACTCCAGTTGATAACCCTTTTTATGAAACGGACATATTGTTTCCTTTAGCCACTCTTCTGGTACCAATTCATTCGGCCATATAAGTACTATTAGTTTATGGATTGCTGCAAAAAGTTGATCACCACCATTTTTATATATTTCCGAATAGATCTTATCGATTCCTGAGGCTTTATTGTGTTTGAGTTTTAGGATCGCATTTGACACTTTTTATCTTGTTTTTATCATGTGTTTTTACAAATTTTTAATGTGGTTTAAATTATCGACAGCTATTATTTAAGGATTTGTAGTATTTCCTCATTTCATTGAGAGTGTTCTGTTCGTATTTCCTCTTCTTACGTCGATGGATACTCTGTTCTAAGACTTCTAAACTAGTCTTTTTTCTCCATGTACAACCTGCGTCGATGGTTTTTTGACATGCTGCATTCTTTCTATTTGTCGCCATTTCACCCTCATGATCAAACCAATGATTTCTTTTTTTTTACTTGGTTTTGCTCAATATTTCAACCGATTTCTGTAACATAATATCTCGTATATTTGCCCATAGTTATTTATTGCCTTCTTCTTCTTCTAAGTTTTCTGCCCTTATTTGATCTTCTATTTGCTATCTTTGCAATGTGGGGATCTCTTAGTTTATTAATGTCGAATTTTTCTCTCCTTTTCCCGATCTCCTTTTTTAAATTGGATATTCTCGCTTTAAATCGTGCTTTAACTAAATAGTGATCACTATCTATGTTTGCTCCTTTAAAAGACCTAACATCTAATAAGTTGTAAGTTAAGAGCAGTGCCTTACACCGAGTATTTTAATATTTGGTTAATCTTTTCATTATCAGGAGATTTCCAAGTTCCCTTATGTATATCTTTATAGGGAAATCGTGTCCCAGCTATTAGCATGTTCTTAAACATAGCAAAATGTATGATTCTGAGACTGTGTTTATTAGAGTCTACATGTAGGCTTTTTTTCCGATGGTGGGCGAAAATATATTCTCTCTTTTGATTTTAGCATTAAAGTCTCCTGCTATTATTTTCGGGAGAAGGGGAACGGGAACGAGAACGGAAACTGAAAGCATCAGCAGATTCACAATTAAGGGTAAACAAGGTGTTTTGTGCTACGAATATTTAAATTTTTTGTCACTGTCACTTGTGCTGTTAATTTTTTTTTCTCAAAATAAATTTTGTAGAACAATCTTTTTCTAATTTTATTAAAAGAGAATAATACAAAAACTGATACAAATTTAACCCATGCTGTTCGAATGGGTTCGAACACGGCTGCAGATGCTGTAACAAGATTAAGACATAGATTATCACAATTATATTATTTATCTGTGGATTATTCAACTATTTATTATCTGATGTAGGTTCAGTACCTTGGCATCAAAAATATATTAATAGAGGGGCCAAATTAAATTTTTTTTAATGTAACCAATGTATATAAAGTATTATTTTTGAAAAATAAATTTTACTCAACTGAAATAAACATAGTTACTTAGTTCTTTTGCATAGTTTATTATGTTACTCTGTATGTTTCAATAAAAGATCTAGTACATCTTTTTCAAATTTTAATTTGTTTTTTGGTGTTAATGACTTCATATCTTCTACTACTGATTTAATAAAATTTTAAGTCACTACTGTTGTGTGAGTCTTTTAATTTTGACTCACAAAATTTACTAAAATTAGCTGTTGCAACAGTCATCGTGTCCATTGCTTACAATATTCTGCAATAGAACAACTATTGTTTTGCAATGTCTCATCTTTATACCCCTTACTGCATCGATCATACATTTTTCCACTAAAGAAATGAGTAGTTCGTCATAGTCATTCATTTTAATGTAAAATACATAAATGCTTAGACAAGAGGGTTAGATTATAAAAAGTCACTCAAAATGTAAACAAATTTTTATTTGGCATTTGACAGTATTTTAAATACTGCTGTCTAATTGGTTCCGGGAATACAACGGGAACGAGAAAGTTAAAACATGGGCAACTTTCCCGATCTCGTTACCGGGCGGTTTCTCTTTCTAGGTTATTGTGCATCTAAACATTGATTTACGTAGAGGTTAACTTTTTTCCCGTTCCCGTTCCCGTGCAATTGTGCCGCCGCCTTAAGTCTTATTCGACATATCCTATGATCAATAGCTTTGAAATCGATTACACTATGTTTGACCTTGCTGCTTTACCAATTTCGTGTCAGGAAGGATGTCCACTGTAGTAAATATTGTAGTTATTTTTTTCCAGGATGCCTGAGCTAATCCACCTCATTTCCTGTAAAGCAATGATATCTGATTTGGCTTTATTCATTTCTTGTATGAGCAGAACCGTAGCTCCGGCTTCTTACGTTCCACGAACAAATTTTTAAATCGTTATCCTTATTTCGTTTCAGTCTGTTTAGCTGTTGCTATCTTTTTGTTCGGAGAAGCATGTCAGTAGCTGAGAATTTAAACTGAAGGAAGTACTCAGAATCCGCATTTGCTCATCTCCTGGTGTGGAAGTTTATTATATTCGATTGATGTATTGAGTCTACAATAACATGATCTATCATATTTACTGTAAGTCTATCTGGAGATTTCCAGGTATCTTTGTGTATATCTTTTCGAGCGAAGTTAAAATTATACCATCGATTCCAAAAAAAAACTACTATGAAAAAAAAGAAGACTTTTGAAATCAGAGCCTCAAATTTATTTAAAATTCATTATTTCTCAAGCACCAAACTTTTTCATTTTGTTAGGCTGTGTAAAAATTCTGAAGTGGCATATAATGAGATGAGAATAAGCATACAATGAATTATTACATGGCTTATCAGCAGATGAATTATTACATGCCGCGCCAAATCGAGAACGATATCGGCAAATCGTCATGGAAGCTAAAACTTGGGCACGGTACTCAAAGAAGAACAAGAAGAAGTGTAAAAAGACATTTTTGAAATCAGAGTCTCAAATATATTTAAAATTCGTTATTTCTTAAGCACAAAGTTTTTTCATGTTGTTAGGCTGTTGATTGAACTGTTGATCTGTTATGTCTTCATTTTGCTGTGTAAACACATTTCGACCTATTGTTAGGACATTGATTCTGTAGAATGAACCGTTCTCTCAGAAACAACGCTTCAAACAATCGACCACGTGACCTTCTCATTGGTCATTTAGGTCACGTGCTCGATAAACCTGCCAATTAGAAAGAGATGTAGGGACTGCTTTGCGGTAATTTTTTCAGTCACACTGACAGGCATTTGATAGAGTAAAACATGATAAACTTATAAACATCTTGAAAGAAGTGAGGTTAGATGATAGGGACTTGAGAATCTTCTATAATTTATATTACAACCAAACAGCCAATATTAAAGTTGATGATCAATTGACAGAGGCAGTGTCCATAGATAGAGGAGTGAAGCAAGGATGCATTCTGTCCCCGGTGTTAGTTAATATATACTCTGAATATATTTTCGAGCAAGCGCTGGGAGAACTACAAGAAGGCGTATTAGTCAACGGAATGCGTCTAAACAACATTAAATATGCCGACGACGCAGTAGTTTTTGCAGATAATCAAGACGGTTTGCAAAGAATAATATCGCGTATATCAGATATAAGTAGACAATACGGACTTGATCTTAATACGAAGAAAACAAAGTAAATGGTAGTCAGTAAGCGCGAAATATTAAATACACAGCTTTTGGTTAACCAACATCCAATTGACAGAGTGGACAGCTACACATACCTTGGTACCAACATTAACAGCCAATGGAATCACTCCAGTGAAATAAAACAACGCATAGGAAAAGCGAGATCAGCGTTCATAATGATAAAGTCTCTCTTCAGAAGTCATTATTTACCACTTGCTATCAAAATCTCTCTCATTATATGCTAAGTATTTTCTACCTTATACGGAGTAGAGGCCTGGACACTTTCCGAAGCTTCCTTAAGAAAACTCGAGGCATTAGAGATGTGGTGTTACAGACGTATCTTAAGAATTTCATGGGTGGATCGTGTGACTAATGTTGAGGTCCTACGTAGAATAGGCAAGGAATGCGAGATTATTAACACCATCAAAGAGCGCAAACTAGAATATCTTGGCCATGTTATGACGAATGAACAGAGATACGGCTTGTTGCAACTCATTCTTCAGGGCAAGGTATTTGGAAAGAGAGGACCAGGGAGAAGAAGAATATCTTGGCTTCAAAACCTGAGAAAGTGGTTCAATACATCGACAACCGGACTATTCAGAATAGCAGCAAGCAAAGTTAGGATAGCCATGTTGATCGCCAACATCCGGAACGGATAGGTACCGTAAGAAGAAGAAGAACACTGACAGAACGAACATGTATTGCGACTCCAAGTCTATTTATATTATATGTCTAATGTATATGCTTATATATAAACTTAACCTACCCTAACTTAACGTGCTTTTTTCTTTCCGACGTTTTTGCAGTGGTTACTTGAGGAACTAGTCACAAATTTAATTTACCATGTAATTATAAACCTATTTTATAGAATTCACCTGCGTTTTTAACTACTATACAAACAACAACATAAAAAGTTAAAAGTAAATGACACTTGGTAATGAAATGAAATGAAAACTGGTAATTATGTTCAATAAAATGTAAAATAAAATTTTATAAAAAAATGACTGTGTGGGAAATACAAAGAATTATTGATATACAAAAACTTGTTCCCATGTATTTGAATATGTAAAGATGTAAATTAGTGTTATAATATTTTTTTCTTTTCAGAGCTTTCTGAAGAATTATTTTCCAAGATTACCAAAGAACCCAAACAAGAAAACGTACCTGAAAATGATGCCAATACATTTAAATTAAAATATATAGGTAAGAAAAACATTAAATCCTTGATATTTAGTTTGGTGTGTTGGTAAAAATTTCTATTTGTTTATGTATTTCATAACAACAAAAGTGACACTTAGAATTCACTTACAAAATAAATATTTGACAATGAGTATTACCTGGTTCTCGTTTCTAACGAGGAATTATGTAAGTTTATAACCAGAGTTTCTAACACAATATTAAACTCCTCAAAAATCTGCAAGTATTATAAAGGTTTCAAAACTATCATAATCATCATCTTAGGCTCGACAATCGTTTTAAAACTATATCGAAACTAACAACATAATAAATGAGGATCTAATAGCTAGTGAACAATGTGAAACGTTCAATAACAATATTAAAGACACAAATAATATTGTAGGACTTGAAAGACTATCAGCACGCAATGACTGGCTCGCTGCTAAGTGTAAGCACAAAAATACGACGACGTTGCTCGAAAAAAAAATAATGTATATAAACTTATGTAATAAAGAAAAAGGTAAAACCAATCCAGAAAATACTATAAATCTCTGAATAATGCAAGAAAAGGGCTTAAACCATAGCTGAGAATATGTAAAAATAATGAGGGACTGTATTGGAACTGCTGTAAAATATAACAAAACTCCAGGAAGGTATACCTGCAGAACAGGAGGCAATAATAGTATACTAATTAGATACATAAACTAATAGTTAGAGCTGGGAATGAGAAACAAATCCCGAAACAGTGGTATACTGGACTTGTTTGTCGGTTACACAAAAAGGGTGATCAATTGGAATGCAGAAACTGTAGGGGTACAACCCTTCTTAACACAGTATACAAAATATTTTCGAGTAGCCTATATAGTCGCCTAAGTACTTATTCAAAGGTTCTTCTTGGCGAATATCAAACTAATTTTAGGTCTGGTCGATCAAGAACACACCAGATTTTTGTGCTGATACAGAAACTAAAAAAAACCAACGAATTCAATATCGAACCAAATTTTATTGTCTTTATAATATACTACAAAAGTACCTTAAACCATAACAAAATAATTTACCAGACATGAATAGTTGTTTTTGGTCATAGATCAATGATTTGGCTGGTACATATATCACTGACAGTTACGTCATATAAAAATACATCACATAATATCCTTGTTTCTTATTTAATTATTACACTCTCCGAATAATAATCATGACTTTCCGTTTTTTCATTTAATTATTGTGGAATCTGAATATTTTATCTGTAATTTTTACATACCATTTAAAAGATTATACAATTAGATGATTATTATTAATTAGTTTAAAAAATTCTTGGACAGAGTGGTAATTTTCTATAGAATTGCACATTCTCTATACTCTATACCTATTTTTATTTATTTGCTGTTACTGGACATCGAAGTAAAAAACGAGATAAAACAAAAATATCGGAGAGGATCGCAAAAATCAAATGATGGATGTTAAAAGTTGAGAAAGAAGGTCTATTCAGGGCAAAAATGGTAGAAAAAATAGACTGGAGTATAAAAGGAAGTTCTTATACAATTTGGAATTACTCTGCAGTTACAAAGCAGAACAATACTTTGATGTTATTTGACACTGCTCCTGTTCTATAAGGAAAGTTTTGTAAGCTGGGCCAATTTTTGACTAAGGACTAATCGAACAAACTATTCCACGATCTTCATACATTACATCTTTATAACTCATTGCATGATTTCAACAGAAAATTCCAAGTGTAAATACGAAGTATCGGTTTGTCTATGTAAGATCTCAAACAACATAGCTCAATGAAGCCGTCTGATAAATTTAAATCACCCGACAATTAACTAATGAACAGTAGTAGTCTGGTTTACTTTTTTCTTTTTCGTTTTTTTTTTTAATTTTTAGTAACCATACAGCTTTAATAACATCTTAAAAAACCTACAAATTATTTGTAAGTATCAAGCCCACCATTGTTGTTTTTACTTATAAACTTACACCATTATTTTTTGTACTAAGCTGAAGAAGTTAAGAAGCTAAGAAATAGAATATTGGAAGAACTTGAGGTATTAAATAAGGAAAACCAAACAAGAAAATTCTACAAAACTCTGAATAACGCAAGAAAGGAATTCAAACCAAGGCTCAGACTATGTAAGGATAAGGAGGGGCATATACTAAATACAAAAGAAAAAGTACTGAAAAGGTGGGTGGAACACTTTAAAGAACTACTTACTATGGAAGTAGAAGATCCAGATCCAAATCAACCACCCGAAGGAGCAAGCAACAATTCACCATTAGAACCTCCGTCAATTCAAGAAGTACGAGATGCAATAAAACACCTAAAAAACAATAAATCTCCAGGAAGTGATGGTATACCCGCGGAACTTATCAAATGTGGAGGTGCTTCTGTGACTAATCAAATATATAAAGTAATACTGAGAGCCTGGAATGAGGAACAAATCCCGGAAGAATGGTGTATTGGAATCGTTTGCCCGCTACACAAAAAGGGTGACCAATTGGAATGTAGAAACTATAGGGGAATAACCCTCCTTAATACAGCATATAAAATATTTTTGAGGATCATATATGGTCGCCTAAGTACATATTCAGAGGAACTTCTCGGGGAATATCAAAGTGGCTTTAGGCCTGGTCGATCAACAATAGATCAGATCTTTGTGCTAAGGCAAATACTGGAAAAAACCAATGAATTCAATATCGATACATACCATCTTTTTGTAGACTTCAAATCTGCCTATGATAGTGTCCTAAGAAATAAATTGTATGAAGCAATGAATGAATTCCACATTCCCGATAAACTGATCAGATTGGTTAAGGCTACAATGCGTAATGTGGTTTGCAAAGTCGAAATACAGGGCGAACAATCACAGGCGTTTGAAACGCATGTTGGGCTGCGACAGGGAGACACGCTGGCGTGTCTCCTTTTCAACATAGCACTGGAAAAGGTAATCAGAGATGCCCGAATAGACAACAGAGGAAATATTTTTAATAAATCATCCTAAATTTTGTTGCTCGCACAACACGCAAGCTAGAAGAAATGTATACCACCTTCTTAAATGCCTCAAAATCTATTGGCCTGCAAGTAAATGAGGAGAAAACTAAGATGATGGCATCAACACCCAACAATAGAGCCAGGAACATCGGTCCCCAATTCACGGTTGATAACTCTACCTTTGAAGTGGTTGAGAAATTCACATACTTAGGCTCCCTGATCACCAAAGAGAACGCCATAACGGAAGAAATCAAGCGAAGGATAGTAATGGCAAACAGATGCTATTTTGGACTGAGTAGACATATGAGAAGTAGAAACTTAAGCCAAAAAACAAAAATAACTATATACAAAACCCTTATACAGCCAGTGTTGACATATGGATCAGAGACATGGACCATCTCCAAGGCAGACGAAGACCTTTTGCTTATATTTGAACGAAGGATCCTGAGAGGAATATTTGGTGGCATCTGTGAAAATGGTGTTTGGAGGAGGAGATACAACTACGAGGTATACCACAGATATAAACAAATATTTGGTGGTAAAGACGTAGTATCTCTTATAAGAATAGGAAGATTAAGATGGGCAGGACATCTAGCAAGATCACAGCAGAACAACCCTCCTAGAAGAATCCTTATGTCACAACCCGTGGGAAGCAGAAAAAGGCGTAGGCCAAAACTCAGATGAAAGGATGGTGTAGATGAGGATGGTAGAATGATAGGCGCAGCAAACTGGCAACGGTTGGCAATGGATAGGACTGCCTGGCGTAATAGACTTGGGAAGGTCGAGGCTCTTTCATAGGGCTGTAGCACCATTGATGATGATGAAGCTGAAGAAGTTTTAAAAAATGGAGAACAAAACGTATGCAATTAAATCACTTCAATTAAAATACCTAAAACACTACCTGGAGCCGATGTCCCCTCAGATCATAACTTATTAATCAGTGACATAAAACTCAAACCTAAAAAGTAAAACGCCAACAACCGACTAACCGAATACTGACTGTATTCGAAATAATAGTCATGAAGATACACATGAGATAGAAAAGAAGTTCGAAAAATCGAAAAAAACACATTACGTCGAAGATCACTGGAATCATGTCAAAACCATTATGCAGGAAACAACTAAAGTATAAAACTATTAATAAGCGCAAACAACAATGGATGACTGATGAAATATTGGGACTAATGGAAAGCACACGAAACCAAAAAAAAAATAAAAACACTAAACAATATAATAAAATCCATAAAAAAATCAGAAGGAAAATCGGGGATGCCAAAGAAAAATGGTACAGCAACAAATGAAATAGAAGAACTGCAGAAAAAAATGACACGTTTAATATGTACAAAAAGGTGAAATAAATAACTGGAACATGTAGATCAACTTCAAGTGGTTTACTTGATAAACAAGAAAATATAGTCAATGAACAAGACAGATTAAAGAGGTAGAAAGAATATATTGAAGAACTGTTTGATGACGATAGACCAGAAATTCAAATCAAAAATATATCAACTGGTCCAAACATAACACTCGATGAAATGGAAAGAGCTATAAAGTTATCAAAGAATAGGAAAGCAACTGGTCCAGATGAAATTCCAAGCGATATAATCAAACTTCTCGACGATAAAGGTAAACATTCTCTTTTAAGTCTCTTTAATAAATATACGAAACAGGAGATATACCAACAGACTGGCTACTGTCAACATTTGTAATAATACCGAAAAAAATAAATGCCAAACAATGTAGCGATCATCGCACTATTAGTCTGATGAGTCAGGTACTGAAAATTTTCCAAAGAATACTGCACTCGAAAATTTACAACAAAATAGAAGTACAACTAAATGAAACACAATTTGGTTTCAGAAACAACCTTGGAACCAGAGAAGTACTCTTTAGTTTGCAGGTCATGGTTCAAAGATGTAGGGATATCGAACAATCGGTATATATGTGTTTTATATACTTCGAAAAGGCCTTTGACCGAGTAAACCATGACAAACTTATAGGTGTCTTGCAAAAAGGTGGGAATTGATGACCGAGATCTCCGTATTATTAAAAATTTGTGTTGGCATCAATGCGCAATCATACGAATGGAACACAACACAAAGGAAGCAGTGGAAATACGACGTGGAGTAAAACAAAGATGTATTCTATCGCCATTCTTATCGTATTGAAACGTCAAAAACGTACTTTAACCTTTAATTGTGTAAATTTTAATGTTTAATTTAATAAAGCAGCATGGGATAAGCTGTCAAAGACTCGCTCGAAATTCAATAAAAACCATGTATAGAGGTGTGTTCCATTCAACCAATTGTTCCATTATTACCCTCACAGTATTAGTGTGGTCTATGCAGTAGGATTGTGGTCTAAAGCCTGCCTGACCAGCTTGAAATTCAATCTTGTTTGTTAATCTTTTAAGTATGATAGTCGTGAAGATTTTATTTATTTATAAGCAAGGTATATTGGAATGGACACCAGCTGGTAAACGAAGACGTGGAAGACCAAGATCTACATGGCTACAAGAAGTAACAAACGATCTCAACAGGGCGGGCGTACGACAATGGAGAGAAAAAACCAGAGATAGGAAACAGTGGAGAAAAATAACAAGAAAAATTAAATAAAGAAAATGAGGACTGATCTACCTCGTAAAATAGATCTAGAGAGCTTAAGCGGCGTAACCCCATACGGGGTGTTTAGCCACAATATATAAGTAAGGTTATTCCTCTCCAATTTTTGCATAGTGTGAGGTTGCCCTTTTTTGAGAGTTTAATACCTTTAACAGAGAGTTAACCCTTTTCCAGCCTGTTGGAATGCGGTTTGTTTCCCACACCTCTCGGATTATGGGAAGCAAAAGTTCAGCAGTTCGATGCGGATCAGTTTTAAGTATTTCGGCAACAATGTTATTGATTCCTGAAAACTTTTTATTTCTCAGAGAATTGATATCTGTTATTATCTCTGTTTTGGAAGGGACCTAGCAAGATATACACAAGTCTACATTTTGCAGATTTTCGACAATTTCATCTACGTTTTCCCTGAGCGTGCCTAGCATCTCCTGAAAATGCTCTTTCCATCTCTCTACTTGGTCATTTGTTGTATTAAGTAATTCGCCTGTCTTGGATCTTACAATGTTTGAACAGTTGGGGACATTTTTTGTTAGTCGTTTAGTAATTTGGTATAGCTCTCTAGTTCTGTTGTGTTGTGCAGCTGTTTCAGCTTGTTTTGCCAGTTCTTCCGTCCATCTTCTTTTGTCTCTTCTTGCATTGATTTAACTGCTTTATCTATTGTTTTACATTCTTGTCAGTCGCTCTTTCTTTTACATTTCTTGCTTGCAAAATATCTTTCTTTTGCTGTTTTCTTTCTTCGATAAGATTCCAAGTTTTGGTCATACTTCAATACAGTTTTTGAACTAATAATTGTAAAAATCCAACATTATATTTATATAAAATATTTTAAAATGAGAAGCGTATAGAATTAAAAGTAAAGTCCGATTTGATAATGACAGCATGAACTGAAACTTGACTAATGTTCATTTTAGACTAGTTTCCTATAAGTTTGACGAATCACCACCCGGTATATATACGTCATATTAATATGTAATTTGTTTGTTCACGTTCTATACCATGCTGTCATATAGATCATCCTCTATGTTTCAATAATTTTGTAATCCTACAACTTTTTTTAATTCTAATGATTTTTATTATTTGCAGGTTGTACAATAGTCGAAAAAGTAACAGGAGAAAACGTCAGTTCGGAAGCTGTTAAAACTATCATTAAAAACGCGAAGAAACTTAAAGGAAAAACATTAGCAAACGTTACTTTACATATATCCGAAAAAGGGGTAATTGTAACAGACGCAGACGGAAACGATGTCCTCAAAATATCTATTTATAGGTAAGCATTTTCCACTTTTCCACTTCCTTGCCAGAGCTGTTTCGTGGCAGATCAAACTTGCTTTTACGTCGGAAGTGTTATTAACATACAATATATTATTAATACATATACATGAGCAATAAATTGTATTGGCAAAGCGATAAATTACAGTATGATTTGATTTTTTCCAAAATTAATATATTTATTTTATGCAAATTAATTTATTTCCAATGCATTATCTTACTTATTTCCTTTCTTGGATTGTGCATTAATATTTGTATTGATATAAGTACAAACAAATATATTATGTTCGTGACATGTAGAAAGGTAGCCACTTGGGCGCATTTTGATCTTTAACATCGCGGCTTAAACCTTAGATCACTTTTACATGCAGTCATTTTTGCTGCTACTCGCGTTGTCTACTGTTCTGCGCAAAATAATTCCACGGCAGCATTTAAGGCAAATTACTGTTTACATATAGCTACCACAGTGTTGCATCAGTGTACCATCAGCAGTGCAGGGCATAGAAATTACTGCGGCAGCAGCTCTGTGTGTTCTTTTAGCTCAGAAAAAAAAATAATAATCTGAAACTGGCTTCAAACACTTACAGAGGAAATATGACAAACATTGTAAATGAACTGACTTATGAGGAATCCGCAAAATTTTTTAACCTTTGCAGAATGTCACGCGTAGGTTTTGAATTTTTGCTTCAGAAACTTCAGCCCAAATATTTTCTTCGTCTTGAATCGCACAGTACAGCTATGTTACTTGCTTTACTATAAGCTAAAGTTTTAGTAGCTAAAAAAACAAATTATACGCTTTTTTTAATAAAATATCCGTTTATACTTATTATAACTCTATTATAAATAATATTTCGATTTTAATTCAGATTTAATTTTAAAGCTGGTAGTATATCCTTTGAATTTGAGCTATAAAGCTACTTTACTCAAAATGTAGCTGAGTTATAAGTAAAAAATCGCCTAAATGGCGTAATTTTGCAATGTTTTAACACTAATTTTGCAATACAATACAATAAAAGTTCTAATTATTCGATCAAGGTTTACCAAACATAATTTTATAGATTTTTCAAGGAACAAATTGTATTCTGTAAAAATGATTTATATTTGTTAGTTTACGAATGATAATTATTATTATAGTTATTAAATTGTTTATAATAAATTCCCGTCACTTCCGACGCAGAAACAAGTTTGAAATTTGAATGTTGCGGGTCAAAATATATGACGATAGACTCTGAAGCTCAGTAAACTTTGGTCGGCCACGAAACATTTCTGGGCTCTCCTTCTATTCAGCTTTTTTTGGTAATGGTCAGCATTTGATTTACTATAAAATAGTGTTTATATTACAGCATATCCAACTGTTCCACTGATGCATCGCACCGACAACTATTTTCGTTTATATCCTCAGACACAAACCAAGTGAACACCTGTCACGCCTTTCTTTGTCCCAAGCGAAAAGTGGCTCAAAGTGTGACGTTAGCAGTTGCCAGTGCCTTCAGCGCAGCTTACCTTGATTGGAGCCAACATACTCTAGCTAGCGAGGGAATGAAAAATACCGTTCAATCAAAAGAAAACGAAAAAAACAATCTAAATCAAATCAATAAGTCTGAAGTTATAAAAGAAGAAAAGCTTATCGATTTTGATAGTGAGCCTACGACGGAGGTTGATCTGTTTACTCTTGAAAGTCAATTGCTTTTCAACAAAAATGACTGGGTAAGTTTTTTTATAGTATTTTACCACTAACGGTTTTTAAAAACATTCGTTTATCATTTGGTTAATTGACGTATACAGATTGAACCAAATTAAAACGGAACATACAATTTAATACATGTCTGTTTGAACTGCATTTAAAATAGTGGACCAATATTAAACTTGGACAAAAATAAATCCATACCTGGGTATAGACATTGTATAAAATATCGTTCAACTATCTGTCTCACAACAATGTTGTTTGCGTAAGACGGGTTTGTCTAAGGAAACGATAATAGTTCAGGAAATTAAGCTCGAAAAAAGTTAAAACCTCGCAATTTTTTCGTCCTGCATGTATCCAGTTGAAATTTTAACAGAAGGTAGGTGATAGCCCAAGGATCAAAATCTATATCGAACCGAAGTGCGCTGAAGGGTTTTAGGGGTGAAAACAACCCCTAATTGTCAAAAATTATAAAATAATATATTAAACCTGAATATGGTTAAGATTTGGTTTGAATTAGTTACATAATAATTATTTTATACTTTTGAATAGAGTTCCATCATATTTCCACCCTTAAAAAGCAACCCTTGTTAGAGATTAATGTAAAAAAATTACTAATTCTAAAAAAATGATTTTGCCTTGGATTTAAGCTCAATTCACCCGCTGCTTTATAGTTTATGTCATGTCGACGAACCCTAATTGTTCTTAGGGGTGAAAACTACCCCTAATTGTCAAAAATTATAAAATAACATATTAAATCTGAATATGGCTAAAATTTGGTTTGAATTAATTAAATAATGATAGTTTCGTGCTTTTGAATAAAGTTCCATCATATTTCAGCCCTTAAAAAGCGACCCTTATTAGAGATTAATGTAAAAAAATTAGTGATGCGAAGAAAATGATTTCACCTTGGAACGATTTGCATAAAAATTTGGAATTAAGCTCAACTCACCCTCTGCTTTATAGTTTATCTCATGCCGATGAACCCTGATTGTTCTTAGGGGTGAAAACTACCCCTAATTTTCAAAAGTTGTAAAATAATATTATAAATCTTAAGATGAGTGAAATTTGGTTAGGATTAGTTAAATAGTGAGTTTTATATACTTTAAAATACAAATTCATACAATGAATTGTGAACAGTGAAAACAATTTTTTGCCAAAATTTTGCAATTTTTCAACTTTTGAAAATCACCCTTTACAACATTGCAGGTTTTATAAACTAATTTATAAGATATAAATTGAAAAAAGTAGAATTAAATACAAAAAAATTTTTATCAACATAAAAAGGCACCATATATTCTTATACATTTACATAAATAGTTGAAAATATTTACATTTATAGGTAAAACCATTATAATATTAATCTTATTCGTCATCAATTACATCTTCATCGTGATCTATGTCATCCTCATCTTCAATTATTGGTGGACTATTATTGCACCCTTTACCTGAGCACCCAGAACAAGTAGAGTTACAGTATAAACCAACTTTTCTGCACCCACATAAAACACCGCATCCTTTTTTGCATTGGCAAAAAATAATTTTCAAAAGTTCATCGAGTGCAGGTTGTTTGTTCATGCGTACGGGTAATAACAAACCATCTTTGGAATACCATCCCCAATCTGTTGCTCTTATATTTTCATTGCCAAGCCATAGACATATGAGCAGATGTTTTATTCTGTTGTATGGAATTTCAAAATTAGAACGCTTAAAATTTCGAATGTATAACGCCCCACTAGCTAATATACCGGTTTTGTAGATTATTATGCTCCGAAATGTACTGTACTATACTAATGGAATTTTCCGGAAAAAAATTCACTGTTTTTAAGAGCTACAAAGATCTGTGAATTAAATCTTTTTGGAACCCTTGGTTTTTAAATGGGGTGAGTTTAAAGGGCTCGAAAAAGATGGTGCTTGATCGTAAATCGATGCTTTAAACGGCTATATCTCGCCAAATATTCATTCTACAACAAATCTAAATAAAGGATAATTTTAGTCATTAAAAAAGCTACAATTTGGTAATTTTTATTTTTTTCATATATTCAGTATTTTCGAGCATATTTAAAAAAAGAAGGGTAAAAAATATGAAATTGTAAATCGTTTCTCGCTTTAAGCTGTACTTTTTCTAACACAAAGCATTTTAAATGGGTCAAACTTCTTGGACGTATTAACAATACATGTACAAAGGGAATTGCAGAAGGGTGAAGATCGATTTTAATTATGGCGGTGGTTAGGGGGTTGTTTTCATCAGTTTTTTCGTAAAAAATGAGGTATTGACCTTATTTTCATTATAACTCACTCAATTTTTGAGCTAGAGTCTTTTTTATGATATGTCTATTTATGCTCTTTAAAAAAGGTTTTGTGAGTTTTCTTCCAAAAATGCATAATTTTCCCGATACTTATTTGACTTTGAATCTTTCAAATTTGGCATTTGAAGAAAACCGCTGAACATTGATAGGCCGTATTTTGGTTCCTATTATATCGCAAAAACATTTTAAAAAATGAATTGTATTTGTCTTTTTAAAAGCTACAAATTTGTTCTGTACAATTTTTTTGATAAAATGTACCATTTTCGAGTTATTCGCGAAAAATCGATTAAAAACGTGGATTTTTTCGTCTAGAAGTTGTTACTTTTAATCGCGAATAACTTGAAAAATATCATTTTATAAAAAAAATGTATGGCACATTTTTTGTTTAGAATCACTTTTTTAATCGAAACCTGTAGTTAAAACGTAAAAAAAATTTTCACCCCAGAGATGGGGTGGCAACCACCCCCTAGGCTTTGGCGCACTTTGGTTCGATATAGATTTTGATCCTTAGGCTATTACCTACCTTCTGTTAACCTTCGGTTAAATTTCAAGTCAATCCACGAGGCACGAAAAAATTGCGAGGTGAAATACTTCATTTCCTGGACTATAACTGGTTTGACAGCATAAATCGTAGATTTATGTGTAGCTTTCAATTTTTATGAGTTCAGAATCCAGCAGCCCGCTGAAGTATTGGATTTTTATAACGTAATTATTTGACAATCTTTTGTTGGCCAACTACCTACAGCAGAATTTAGCCGAAATACATTATATTCCTATGTTCCGAATTTATTTCGTTCAATCTGTATAATATCCATGGATGTTGGCAGTACCTGTTAAGAATAAATATCCTTGTTATTCAATATATATACAATATCAATCTTCTTCTTCTTCTAGTGCCGTCTCCACTAATAAAGGTTGGTTATAACCATTAAAAATTTGTCTCTATCTTCTACTTTTCTTAAGAGCGTCTGTGTGTTTAAGCTGATCCAGTCTCGAATATTTTTCATCCAGGATACTTGTCGTCTGCCAGGATCCCATTTTCTTTGATTTTACCATTCGTGATCAGCTGCAACAACTCGTACTTATCATTTCTAAGTATGTGCTCCAAATATGCTGTCTTTCGCCTTTTAATGGTGGTCAAACGTTCTCAGTCTCTTCCTATTCTGTTCAGCACCATTTCGTTCGTAATATGATCGGTCCATGGTATCTTCAACATTCTCCTAAAAGCCAGATCTCAAAAGCTTCCATTTTTCTCATTAAGTCGACATTAACAATCCAGGCTTCGAAACCATAAATAAGAATAGAGTAACGTCTGCAGATCTGTCTCTATTTCAGCGATAACGGCTGTATCGTCAGCATAAGGGATGTTATTTATATTTTCACCATTTATCTTGATCCCTTCTGTACAGTTTTCAAGTGCTTGCGTAAATAACACTTATATACTATATAAGTGTATAACAATAATCTACTATAATTAATTAATCAAGTAATTATCTAATTAATCAAAACAAATCAAACATAAATAAATTGTATATCTCAGGGCTAAATCACACTATCAATACTTACTTTCTTTCGTGGCTTCAAAATATTTCTCAGTGGCTTCCTAATAAGGATAGAAAAAAAATTAATACAATAATATTCACAGGAATTTTAATTCTAAATTATAAAAGTCATCTATTTTATCAAACTGCAGTAAATGTTTAATATTGTAAAGTTGATTATTTATTCTTCTATCTTTATTTTTATATGACAATTACGGAACTAGGAATCTTGTTTTCTTTTGTTTCCAAATTTTGTATGATATTAAAATTTTATTTTATCAGTATTCTCTTATAAAAAGAAACTGTAATGTTGTCTAAGTTACAAATTTTCCTGAGGTTAGTGATTTTATAATAGTGAAATGTGTAGTTCAATATGCACTGTGGTATTTAATACGCAAATCATACATTCATTTCATAATAAAATTAAACTGACCAATGTCTTTACACAAACACCTCTCCTTATTTGCTAATGTTGCGATCCAAAGAAACTTGTCCACGCGTTTCCCAAAATTGTCCCTGCTCCTTTGCAATATTGTTCTCATTTCCCTTGCTCTGTCTCGTACAGTACTCGTTCCGGCTTTCTCCTGATGCAGTATTCCAACTTTTTGAAACACTTAAAAATTACTGGATACTTTATGCCTGGTTGCACCAATAGATCTTAAGCTCCAGCTTAGCCAAGCTCTGCTTATAGCTAGAGCTGCCTTAACTCTCACTTACGTTGCACCATAATTTTTTATTCTAAAATATTCTTTATATTCTTAAAAATAAAAATACAAAATTTGGTTGATCGCCGTCGGACGGTTTGGTCGTGGTCGGTCGATCAGTCTGAGCTGAGGCCTACCTAAGGCACGTCTTAAGCTTAAGATATGTTGGTGCAACCAGGCATTAGAGTCAAATAGTTATATCTTTGCTTGAATTGGCCTATTTCCTGTTTCCAACGATATCCTACTTGTCACTTTTGACAAAACCAACCCGCCATTTTTTTTCCTGTACACTACACTCACAAACTGGACTCTCACCTTCAATCCAACCAAACAGACTGCCTTCCTTACTCATTCATTTCATCCTTCCAAAATCATTCCACCTCATGAGTTAATTTTACAACCAATCAAAACAAATTTTAGTTATGACGTATTTTATCTCCTTCTTAAACATGCCATAATGGATTTTCAAAAAAAAAATAATATTCCAAATATTTTAATTCTATTTTCTACACTTCTTCATCTTCTTCGGCCTGTGTTAGTCCACCGCTGGACATAGGCTTCTTCCATCGATTTCTACTTTTGGCAATTCTCATTCACTGCTTGCCCGCGACTTGTTTGATATCGTGTGTCCACCTCTTCTGCGGTCTGCCTACTCCTCGCCTGTTCTCTCTTGATCTCCAGTTTGTTAATCTTTGTGTCCATTTTTCGGGATTTTCTCGGGCAACGTGTCCGACCCATTGCCACTTGAGCCTTGCAATACGTTCTGAGACATCAGTAATTTTTGTTCTTTCACGAATGACGTTATTTCGAATCCTGTCTCTCAAACTAATCCCTAGCATGGCCCTCTCCATTGCTCTTTGGGTTGTACTGAGCTGCTCAAGTTTTCTTTGTGAAGGCCATGGTCTCCAGTCCATATGTAGTTACAGGCAAGATACATTTGTCATAAACTCTACGTTTTAGACACATTGGTATATCTTTATTCTTCAAAATAAGGCTTAATTTGCCGAAAGCTCCCTAAGACAGTTGTATGCGTCTTTTTATTTCGGCTATTTGATTTTCTTTGCCGATTTTAATGGTATGTCCAAGATATATATATATAGTGGTCTACATTTTGAAGACGTTGTCAATAACAAGATTAGTTTGTAAATTACTCATTATTTTTGTTTTCTGAAGGTTCATTTTGAGACCTATTTTATTTGACTGCTGGTTTAATTCCTTCAACATTTGCTCCAGTTCCTTGATATCTGTACTAAATAATACTATGTCATCCGCAAACCTCAAATGACTCAAACGTACATCATCAATGTTTAGACCTTTTTCCTCCCAGTCAAGCTGTTTGAATACATTTTCCAATGCTAAGGTAAAAAGCTTTGGTGAAATAGTATTACCTTGTCTAATACCTTTATCAAGGCGCATTTTTTTCTACACTAATCATATTTTAATCTATCTTTACAAATCGTAATACACAGGTATATTTTAACTATCTATAATGTACCCAATATCCGCATTTTTTTAAAAACTAAATAATCTATTCTTCTATTAAATAAAATTACCAATTGTCCTTGGTTTTGATAAACCGTTTAAAAAACACTTTCTTCCTCCAGCTCCCTAATCGCTTATTTGGAATGCATTGTTCTTGTGGTTAGTACAGAACTCCGAGAATAACTTTCTTAAAAACTAGTTATAACTATTTTTACAAATTTTGTCTTATACAGGGTGTTCAAAATTTATATGCTCGTGTTTGAGAAATATGAAAATTTTTATTTTAAATTGAATTCTAAATATGAATATGGTCTTTTAATTTCTTATTTCAAATTAGGAATATAACAATATATTAAATAGTAATGGTGAAAGTACACAACCATGTCTCACTCCTCTACTTATCTGTTGCGCACCATGCTATTTCCATCTAATGTTACCACAGCCTATTAGCTTCAATAGAGATTTCTCACTATGTTAATGTCATTTTTGTAGAGTCATTTTCTCTTTAGACATTCCATGAGAATGTTATGTTTAACTTTTTCGTAAAGCTTTCTCATAGTCTATAAACGCAACGAAAAGATCTTTTTCTTTTTCTCGACATTTTTCGGCAAGAGTTTCTTCTGTTCCGAAGCCGTTACGAAAGCCAAACTGTCTATTACTCAAACACTTCGCACTTTCTGAATATTCTTGCATGTATAATCTTTAAAAATGTTTTTAATAAGTGTGTAATAACAATATCAATAGTAATTCAAAACTATTTATTTCATAATATGTTTATCTTCGTAATTGTTTAAAATTTTAAGCATATTTCCTCAATTTTTTTCTCGAATGATGCTATAAACCCAAATTGTTACATTACATACCACTTTATTTGCTTATTAATTACATTTTTAAATTACCTAAAAAATAAATTCAGTATTTTCTAAATAACGCATCATAAAAATCATCAGATCGTTAGTTTTTATGATGCAGTTAAAAATATTTTAAATCTCGAACTAATATACAAATATCTTTTCAGGTTTCGTTTGATGATGACGGTTTCGCAGACCCTAGCAAGCTCAAATTTTTCCAGTGATGATCTCGCCGAAGAGAATATGTTCCATATACTTTATATTAAGCTTAAATAATTAAGAATTAGTCAATAAACATGTAGGTATATTTATTTTACTGTTTAGTAATCAGTGATAAACTTATTTGTAGTCATTTTTTATTTTACGTAAAAATAAAAGAAAATATGAAGTTGTATTGGTTTTATTATATTCTTCTATACATATATATGTTGTGTATTTAATGAAGCACAGTCTAAGAAAACATAACTATTCATTTACTTACAAAACGGTTACAAGCAAGGTTCTACTTCATGTAATATATGAAAGGCTAAAAGCTTTTCTATTACCTCAGATATCAGAAGAACAAGCGGATTTGTCAAAGGAAAAGGCACAAGAGAACACATCCTTAATGTCAGACAGCTAATCGAAAAAACTCGTGAATTCAATACTTTTAGGCTTATGTGCTTTGTGGATTACACAAAAGCCTTCGATAAAGTCAAATGGCAGCAGCTATGGTCCATCATCATATAACGGGGGTCCTACGGCGATTGCCGCTTCCCGCATTTCAGCCTCCTTTTTTTCCTATCTCTCCAATCTCCCTCTTCTAAGCCTCTAGATTGCATTGTTTTTGTAATTTCTCTTCTCCAAGAATTTGGTGGTCTTCCCCTTTTCCTTCTTTCTGGCAGAGCATACATTAAGGCTTTCTTTGGCCACCGCTCCTCCTCCATTCTCATCACGTGACCATACCATTGTAATTGCCTTCCTTGTATTATATCTGAAAGAGTATCTCTAATTCCTGTACGGTTTCGTATTTCCTCATTCCTGATTCTTTCCATTCTCGATACTCGACATGACCTTCTAAGATAATCCATTTCCACAAAGTCTGCTTTATCTCGTTCATTCTTTGTCATCGTCCAACATTCGGCACCATATGTGGTAATCGGTTCTACAATTGCTCTGTATACACGAAGTTTAGTATGCATCTTTATTTTATTAGACCACAGTAATGAATTCAGTATTCGGATGCATTTTTTCCCTTGGGTTATTCGGTTTTGTACATCTATCTTAACTCTGCCATCTGCTGATATGATGCTTCCTAAATATTTATATTGGTTGCAACCTTTTATGACTGCATTTTCAAGCCTCAGATCTGTGGTATTTCCTCCAATTTTTAAATATTCTGTTTTGCTTATGTTTACAGTAAGCCCCCATTTGGCATATTCCTCAAATAATTTTCGATTCATATAATTTATATCTTCCTCATCGGTTGCAACCACCACCTGATCATCTGCAAACAACAATGTATACAGAGTTTCTTGTCCCACTTCGATGCCCATAAATCTACATTTATTTCTCCAATTCCTCAATGCTTTTTGGACGTATACTTTAAAGAGTGTCGGTAACAAACAGCATCCTTGCTTTAGGCCTTTAGTGACTTTAAATTCATTTGAAGTTCTGGTTACAATTTTTACACAACTAACTGCATTTTCGTACAATTTATATATCGCTCGGATATACGTTGAATCCAATCCGGACCTTTCGAGTTCCTCAAACATTTTCTTTAACGGGACACTATCATATGCTTTCTCAAGATCTATAAATACCAAATGGGTCTCTCTACTTCTTTCGACACGCTTTTCAATTATTTGTCGTAGGATAAATATAATATCAAGGTAGCATCTCCTGGTACGAAAGCGTCTTTGTTCTTCAATATCTTGTATCTGTCTTTCAACTCGCTTTGTTCTTCAATATCTTGTATCTGTCTTTCAGCCCTCTTCTTTAATATTCTGCCGTACAATCGGCCCACAGAGCGCGTCACACTAATACCTCTATAATTGGAACAGTCTCTTTTATTCCCTCTCTTATATATGGAGCTTATATAAGATTTATTCCAATCTTTAGGAATTTCCTGGTCTCCACACATACATTTATTAAAAAGGTCTACTAGGTATTAATTCTAAAAGTGCAGTCGGCCCATATTTAACCAGCTCTATGGAAATGTCTCCAGGCCCTGCGGCTTTTCCGTTTTTAACCTCTTTTAAGGTTTCCGTCAATTCAGATAATATAGGGATTTCCTGTCTTTTCGTCTCTGTTATCTATTAATTCCCTTATCTTGTCCCATCTGTACTCTACTCTATCCTCTTTCAGCAGTTTCGTATAATATTCTTCTCATTCATTTAACTTTATGAGAGGAATGTTCTCTTCATTTTTCTCATTTTTCAACAGAGGCAGGTGTCAGGCATGGATGCATAATCTCACCAACTCTGTCTAATACCTACAGATAGATGGAAGAGCGGAATGTTAGTAAGAGATCAAAAAATCAATAACTTGAGATATGCTGATGACACGTATGGAAGACGTAATGAGATGTCTGGAGGCAAAACATATGGACTAAAGCTAAATAGGAGTAAGACAAAGATCATGATAGTAGACAGAGCTCGGAATAATCTTCAACACATTAAAGAAATTGGGAGATTTGAAGAAGTAAATAGTTTCATATACCTGGGGTCTCTAATAACAAATGACGGAGGGTGTGAGAGAGAGATACGTAAAAGGTTGACTATTGCTAGAACAGCTATGATGCAATTTGGAAAAATTATAGCATAACAATATAAACAAAACTAAGGCTGGCAAGGGCACTCATTTTTCCCATAGCCGCATATGCATCCGTAACGTGGACCTTAAAGAAAGCGGATAAAAATCAACTTTACGCTTTTGAAATGTGGGTATACCGCCACATGTTGAGAATATCATGGATTGATCATCGCACTAACGTGTCGATATTAAAACAGCTCAAAGTAAACGATAGATTGCTTAAACAAATACAACAGATATATTTGCAGTATTTTAGACACATTGCTTGAATAACGTGCACGATGAAAAAACTGATAGTAGAGTGTAGAGTTGAAGGATAGAGACCTAAGGAAAGGGCACCAAGCCGTTTGGTAGATCAAACAAAAATATTGATTAACCAAGGGTTACTTGAAGCCGAACAACTAGCCCAGGACAGAGAAAGATGGAGAGAAATCGTGAAAAAAGAAAAAACTGTAAAAGCCTGATGGTGTCACCTTGGGCCTCTGAGATCGATCGCCTCGGTCTTCCCCGTCGCAAGCTCTAGATCATGATCGCCCATGCAGTTGTTCACGACGTTTGAGGCCATGTATCCCTTGTGAAGGATCTCGTCCTTGTCCGGAGTCGTGGCCAGCACAGCGAGGTCATCGGCGAATGCGAAAGGGGTACACCCCTCATCATATTCGGGCCAGTCTGAACAACCTAACACCCAAGATATTAATAGAGGAAGAAAATTTAGGCGTCAATACTAAGAATTGAAGAACTAAAGAAGAGTAGGCAAAAGCCCTACGATATAACTGCCTTTCTCAATACATCCCACATCAGCAGAAGCTTCAAAGAAAGATGGTCTTATGGTTAATTACAAATTTGGTCAGGTAAGATTGTTACAACAAAAAATGTGTCCAGTTCTGCAGCTACAAGCAACACTAGAACAAAGGCCACCAGCAAAGGACCAAATAGTAATGAAACTTCCAAGGATAACAAGGGATCAAAGACAGATCTTAAGAATGTGTAAAATGGATCCTATAAAACTTATTCAATGTCTGCAACACCACTCAAAAGACAAATTTACCAGCTCATAGCTTTTAATGCCAACTTTATAGTTTGATGCAACAACTCTCGGATTTGAAGATGCAATGAATTAAGTTTCATTTTCTGAATTCCCCTCCGGACTATTTTTAAAAAGGCTAGTATCATCTGAAGTTCCTCCATTTGCTTCCCATTCCCGTAAATTACTTGGAAGCAAAGAAGTTACTTTTTGTGGAGAAAATAATACAGGATAAGAAAAATATGTAGCTGTCTGAAGACAGAACTATTAATACCCCCTTCTGAATTCCACCTTAAATTCTCTGTTAGTGTTAATTGTGATCAGTTCTATGATACCCATTTTTTCAATAACACAATATGGGTTGATAATCCACTGTGGTATTCCAATAGTCAAAACATCTTCAAACTTGGTAGTAAAATATGTGTGAAAGGTATTTTAATGTTGAACATGACTCATAGAGATCACCAATTTCTTTTTTCACTGTAGTGGACCCCCTTTAAGTTGAAGTCAACCACAGTGAGACCTCTTATGGTTTAATTAGATGATCCAATCCTTAATATTCTCAAAATAATACATAAATGTTCATAGAATATGTAATGGAACATGTATGTTTAGGATATTTGTAAAGGTTATATATAAACACAAAAATAACTGTTACACATAGTTTAATATATTATATTATACAATTTTATAATACTTAATTACGAAATATACTAATAGGAAACTTTTTTACATAAAAACAATAATTTTAGACTATAGATCAAATATTTCTTCTTCTTCACCACCAATAGCTTTCCAAAAAGCTGTGACCATTTGCTCAGCACATTGTTTCCTTTGATTTACTGGCATACCTTGCAAACTATCTTTCATCGTATGAAGTTGAGAAAACAGATCTGTAAAATCGTCTAAATTGTCATTTGAAAATATTGTAGCATGTTCTTCCTGTGTTTCTTTTCCAATGTTGCTAACTATTGGCTTTGGTTTTTTTCTTTCTTTCATTAATAAATTCGACCAGGTATGAGAGTGTAAGGCTTCAATAACCTGTGGATGAAGAACATCTTAGCATATAGAAACACAACTATATATAATGAAGCAAAATTAAATCTACATAGTTACTTACCCTATCGACACCAAATTTTTCAATAACTATATCATCATCTTGGTCTGACTTTTGGATTGTGGGATACAACTCAATAAACTCGAAACCCATCTTTAAACACCATTCTAAAGCTTGACTTTTTGTTATATTTGTATTATCTGTACAATAATTTGCTAAAAGTAACTTAACATCTACATTCCATACATCTAAAACAATAAATTTTATTACAAACGTGAAATCCTAGAGAAATTTCATATTACCACCAAGGAACTCCCACTTCTTTAAATCATCCAGGCCAGTTTTACTGTTGGAATCCATGTGGATGACTAAAGCCTCAATGCAACTAAGGAAATCTTCATCTTTCTCAATTTCCGTTGTTTCTATTCCTAAAAGGTTTACTTGAGCAGTATAATACTTAGTATCAATATTCCAGGGATGTTTTAAACAACCCGGTTTGTCACTAGTTTCTTGGATATCTTGAGTCTTAGATATCAATTTAATCAGTGATTTTGGCCGTGTTTGGCTACAACTAACTATTGCTATTCCTGGTATAGTACCCATTTTATCATTTGTGATTAAAACATTTTAATCTATTCATTGATTATATTGGCGAATTATACAGAAGTTAAGAAAAAATAACAAGTTACCACGTCAAATATCAAACAAATTCTTCTTCTATTTTAGGTTACGGTACGGTTATGGTTGGAAGATATACTTATTTTCATTACACCCAAAAAACTTATATAGTCGTGTATTCGAAAAGTTAATATTGTTGTTAAGTTAATATATTTTATACAACTTAATTTTTTTCGCTTATTTTACCTAAATTCTGCAAATTATTTGAATTCGGAAATGTTAGCTATGAAGTTGAGAGATGAAAAATGAAGACACCTGTAAGGAATGACATTGACTTTTAGTAAATGATTAAATGTCAAATTAGTTTATTTGACAAATAAACAGGAATTAAAAGTCCAATACAATTTACTGAATAAAAATGTACTATTATAATATGTTTCACAACAACTTAAATACCTAAGTGATATCGTAAATATGACTTGAAAGTAAGATCAAATAAATCCATACTGTGGCAAAAGAGTATACTATATTACATACACCCCTTTTTTTTAGATATCACCAATATTACAATGGAATTGAAAGTCTGGGTGGAAGGAATACAACGCATAGTATGTGGAGTTACAGAGACAACTACTTGCCAAGTAAGTTTTCTATCAAAATTTACTAAGGGATATCTTACATTGTAACAAGTAAGTCATTCATTAAAAATTAGAACAAAATGCATCAACTGTCAAATTAAGGGTAAAATTGTGAAATGGGTTGCTTAGAATGGTAATAAAAGTAAGATTTTACACAAGGTTAACATTGTATATTAGTTTCTGATATAAATCAAAATTGGGTTAAGTTTCTAATATTCAAGTTTTTTCAAATTTTTAGGATGTTGTCTTTGCCCTTGCTCATGCTACAGGCAAATCTGGAAGATTTACGTTAATCGAGAGGTGGAGAAGTAACGAAAGACAGCTTTCCCCCAATGAAAATCCTATGAAGATTATTATGAAATGGGGGGAATACTCCAATGATGTTCAATTTATACTTCAGCGTAGTGAAAATACCAAGCCTTTACAGCAACCAAAGGTGAAAAGTTCTGGTAGTGCTAGTAGCACACCAACACACTGCTCAAATGTACATGATCTCTCTGACCAACATAAAGATACCAATAAATCATTTAGGTATGTAATGTAATGGTATTTAAAACAATTCTAAAGAATAATTGGGTCAACCTAATCTAATCTAACTACAAGTTCTAGATAGAAATTTAAAATTTTTGTCAATATTCATGGCTTTGGTGTGATATAAAGAGTGTAAATATTAAAGAGTTTAAAGCCTACCTACTAATCCTTCACAAAAACTGCAACATAGAGTTTAATAATCAAGATAATCTTAAATATAAATATTATTGCAGAAAATAGGTTCTTGTAGATCTTATAGGATAATTTTTTTCAGTGGAAGTTATTTGGCTAACTTTGACAATGTTGGCATTGTTAAAGGAATACCACAAATGAAATCTGTCTCGTTGGAAGTGAGAGAATCTCGTACCAATTCTCCTCAAAGTTCTCCAAAGAAAAGCAGCTACTCAACTGGTTCTGACATATCAGATCATTCTAGTCAAAGGGTGGCACCACCATATAAAGACCCACCTGCCCCACCTCCGTACAGAGATCCACCACCACCTACGTCTTCAATTTACCGTGATAAATTAAAAAAAGGATTGGCACAAGTGAGTATTTTTTATAATAGCTTACTTATCATTTTTAATGCATATGTACGTGTAATAGATTCGCCCTGTATATCTTCATAGGTATATGCAGAGTCAAAGTATTAACAAATTTTTTCATATCATTATTAGATAATATTGACATTTATTTTATATTAGGAACCCCTGAAGAAGGATAAAGATGAAAATAGGAATAAAATTCAAGATAACATGTTATACAACACACAGTATAGGGAATTGGTAGCTCTTATAAACTACCAACGTGAAAAATTATCAAACCAACAGGCTGATCTAAATAAGGTAATTAGAACAATTTGCGTGGTATTTAACTGCATTGTAAACATCAATTATTGTTTTAGTATGACGCCGAAATTGTCTTTCTAGAAGGAAAGGAGAAGGAAAAACAAAGACAATTAGATTTTATAGCTCAAGAATTAATAGCAATATCGGGTATAACTAAAAACAATCAAGAACAAGTAAGTTGTTTACTGTTTTATAAGAACTAGTTTAGTATTAGTCGATAATTTGGGAAACTGCTCTTTTCTTTAGGAAAGTGTTTGAGATTCTGTTAGTAAAAATAGTAAAATATAAACAGTAATTATTTTATTTTCAGATACATGCATTAAGTTATGTAGAAGAAGAAAGTGAAATAGTTAAACAACAAGAGAAGACATTGCAATCTGAAATCACTTTACTAAGATCGAAATTGGCGAATTGCGAAACTGAATTGTTACAGTGCAAAAATAAAATAAGGTAAGTTGATAAAGTGTTTTGGAGGTTAGGTTAGGTTATGCCTTGTTTGGCATATATAAATGTTATCCACATTGGGTGTCGTAGGCTGCACTAATAACTCTTTAGAGCGGAATCTATTATATACAGTCTTAATTTATTATTTTCAGGTTACTAATGGAGGAACTACAAATTGAACAAAGAGCTCAGAGTAGAAGGGCAGATTCACTTAAGCAGCTAGAACGCAATATACTTTTGGAAGTCGAAAGACTCCAAAAAGACATCGAATTGGCAAAACAAAGTACAGATTTGCATCATTTGACTGCAGAAACGTTAAAGAGAGAGGTAAGAAAGTTATTGTTGATTAATGTCTAGTTTACATACTGTATATTTTTAAACAAATATTAATTTGCGATTTTTCTGTTTACTTTCTTTAGGTTGCTTCACTGGAGACTGCCATTTTAGAAAAGAAAAAGCAAGTGGAGCACCTAGTATCAGAAATGAAAGAGGCAAACTTGGAAAGTCTAAGCATAGTACCTCCAGAAGACATCAGGCAAATTCTGGAAGGTCCCACGAAATCTGGTAGCACTAGAAAAATGATTGGTTCTCCCAGACAGCTGGAGAACGCCGTACCTACTAATAAAAACCCCCACGGTGTTTGGGTCTAGCCAAAATGTGATGAATCCACAAAATTTTAATTTTGCTGTAAGGTAATGATCATATCTCCAATTAAAAAATGTTAAATCAACCCAATACTATTTCTCGTTGAATATAACGGTTGTTTAGACTGAAGAGGATCAAGCTGGCAATTGATTGTTACTCTTTGATTGTGTTCTCTCCTGAATTGAATGTCTAACTTGGCAACATCACACTCGTTTGGGAATAATATCTTAATGTAATAAACAGCATTCAATTTGGGAGAAGATACTGTTGGAAAAACAAGTTTTTTCAACCTTAAGTGTCTTGTATCTCCTATTTTATAAAAAATATGCCTATACAGTACTTAGACTCTTGTATTGACTTTTGGGTACATCTACAATAACATTTACAGTTCCACAGTGTTACCACGCTGCATTATGTATTACTTGTTACTAAATAGATGCTGCATATCAGACAGAAAAGTGTAAGTACTCTATAAACACAATATAACAGCATATCTCATACGAACATAATCGAATATTTTAACTAGAAAGTATAGAAACAATAAAAATCGTTTGTTGCATTGAATTTTTGTTCTAAAGTAATAATACATGTTTTATCTATAAATATATTTTAAATAAATCCAATATATATACACAGCTCCCGTGTAATGACTATATTTGTTCTGATAAAATGTTTTTTAGTTTATACACTCGTCTGGAAGGGTCTATTGTATTTTGTTCTTGGTTTCTTCGGGACATTCGTCTTCCATTGTCTTTTCAATTACAGTTACTATTTCCCACCAGTTAAAAATGGATTTAATATAGGACTGCCTGTTGAAAGTGAATTTTATGTCATTATATATATTTTTGTTAATACAATCGTGATGTTTTTCGATCCCAGTAGCCTCTGGGTGAGTAATTCCATAAAGTGGTAAAAGCAACTTCAATGGTTAAATTTGTCACTTTACTGAGGTTGGTAGATATGACCAAATCATATACGAAATTATTTCGCCGAAAAAAATATCCTGTTACTGTCACTTCAGACGTTCTAATATGTTTTTTATTCATTTAACGGGTGGTATTTCTTGAATTAAACTTTGTACTGTCTTTTTAGCTACACTTCCTATTCCCATAGGTTGAAAACTGATTTTTCTGATCACTATATGGTGATGTAAGAGAGGTGTCCATGTTGAAACTCAATCTAGTGCTTTTGTTTTTTGTGTTGAAGCAATCGGGTCGTTTTTCCTTCTCAGTAGCTTCCTCTTTAAAATGTATTTCACGGTATGTGTTTATGACGTTTTTAAAATGATTTTGAGTGAGTATTTATATAACGATTCAAAACGAGCTTCATATTTTCGTTAATCAATTAGGTTACGACTTGTACTCTAGTTGTTATATATGAAAAACTTAAGTAAAACATTATTTTATCGGAAAAAAGATACTGCCACTGTCACTTCAGAGATCCTGATCTATTTATTTAATCGAGTGGCTTTACCTTTTTCTATTGAGTCAATCGGGACGTTGATCTCAATGAATTCTGGAATCATTGATGGTTTAAAATAACAGATAGGAGTGAAAGTTTTAGAATTTTCATGATATGATTGTGAATGTTTTGAGTGTTGTTATACATTTATTAAATATAAATAAAGCACATACTGAATTATTTGATCTAAATCAACATTCTATCACTGTCGACACAGAGGATCTAGGTTCTTATAGTTGGCGCATTGATTTTATTGAGGTAATTGGGGCGTTTCTCAATCTCAATATCTTCTCGAGTGAGTTTGGGTATGAAAAAACGAATTGGGGCTATAGTTTTGGAATTTTCAAAACCTATTTCAAGACCTGTATAAAAATGACTCTTTAAATTGAATCTGAATTACAAAATTCTCGTAAATTTAACTGTGAATTCCTCTGTTCTTATAACTTATGTAAAATTGTGATCAATTGGTACAGCAAATATCACATACCTATTTTGTTGATGCAATTGGGATGGTTTTCGATCTCACTGGCTTCTCGTATGATCCATGGTTTGAGAAAATAAACGAAGACTGTAGTTTTCAAATATTCAAGATCTCTTGCGTAAAGAGGACGCTGAGTTAGGATGTTATTGTAAGTGTTTCTGTAGGTCTGATCTATGTAAAATATGGAACAATGGACGCAACAATTTTACAAACATGTGGTTCATTGGATATTTTTGCTTAACGGATCTTAAAAGGGATGAACGTTTTGGGCGTGAAGCTTACTTAATTTTGATTCAATTTGTATTTAAAAATTTGATCGATTTTGTTCACCCTTTTTTTATGCGTCTTAGAGATAAAATTAATTTTCGCAAATAACAAATTCTGTAGATTTACTTGTTCCATAACATAGTCGTATCATTCGAAGGGCGAATGATGGGAGTTTTCATTTATATAGAAGTGGATATGAGTGGTTTTTCGGCATATAAATGAAGTAAACATCGGGATGGATGTGTCTTATACAAGAGCTGTGTTAAAATTATCGATGATCGAATTGAAATTTACTATAATCGATGTTTAAACATTAGATAACTAGAAGTAGTAAAGTATATATCATGGTAGAAAGTATTTATTGATGGTAGAAATTGATAAATTTAAGCATTTTGATATATTTCAAATAACCACGTAACGCGATTATCAGTGAGTGACCTTAAGTGGTTTAAAAACAATAGGGAACATTCATTTATGCCAGTATTTACTTCTGTTGGTTTGTATCTATTATTCAGTCTTGAAAAATGCGTGTTTCCTGACTTTATATAACCGATTATTCTATATATAATATATCCAAATGACTAATAGATACGCAGTATAACTAATCCATGTTTTAACCACCACGAGCAATGACCACATTGTGAGCGGTAGATATGCTGTGGGTGTTCGGGAAAGGAATAGGAGAATACGCAGTTTAGTGATCTACGACCAACCTATTGCAATAGGTTGAAAAGTGATTTTTCTTATCTTTCTGTGGTGATGTTTTTTTTTTTTGTTGAAGCAATCGGGACGTTTTTCCATCTCAGCAGCTTCCCTTTTAAATTGTATATGCTTTATAATAAAAATAAAGTATTGAGCACATCAAAAAAGTGGTGGAATGCAGCGAAAATCGTTGGCAAAAAGATAAAAATAAAACTATTTTTTTGTGAATGGCTTATTACTAGAATTAGATGAATAGGAGCTAAATAGAATGAAACACTGTGTCATGTCTCTAGTAGTGAAAAAAAATACAAGCAACATGGCAAAAAATTGCGAAAAAAGTGGTGATACCAATGAGAAATTACACAAAACCATGAATGGAGTTACATAATGAGAAGAATACAGTAAAATAACTCTCGAAATTAGCTATACCTCACAGCAGTAGAAGAAAAGATAAAAGATTTATACATAAACAACAATACAACGTAATAATATGACAAAGGAATAATAAAAGGGGAAACTAAACACAGCAATTAGCAAACTGTGTTAGTACAATCCAAATTATGTCACAATAAGAAAATTAATTTTGAACTTAGTGTTTTCGGCTTGGATCAGGTTATACATTGCTATGTTGAGCTTTCGACTCCCTCTCTGGAGGCTTCATCAGAGCTTCTCAGGGAAGCAAACTGACGCTCTGCATGCGCCATAAAGTATGAATTGTTTTCCTTATAGTCTTCATTTACACTACTACATGTCATGTGTCGTCTTTGCCTATTGTAGTACCTCATTAGCGTGTCTCATAAGAACGTCACAATTGTGTGTATGGTGTGTGTTATATCATGATAATTATTAAAAGAACTTACAAGCCGTACTGCGTTATTTGAAGTATATTAAAATGTTGACGCAAAGGCACCTTCGGAGCTCTTATTTAAAAAATGTTTATGTGTGCTCTCTATAATAACCGGAGTGTCTATTGTGCCATTTAAGGAGCTTTTCTTCATAACTATCTTACAGTAATAGCAAAATAAATATCGCTGGGCATCGTGGTGGATTCACTCACCTTATAAATAAATGGTACTGACACGAGGACATTAAATTCAATTAATTTTGTCGCCTCAATTTAATTTAGTCGTTGATCCACGTAGGTCGGGGTAGTAGCCACTACTTCTGCTCCCATAAGGGACGCAAGTGTCAACGTCAAAATAGGATCAATTCGCGATTAAAAACAAAATATCTGACCTCTGGCGGAATAAATTTAAACTACTAAAAGTGGTAGTGGTATTAACAAACTAGACAGGTGTTGATTTGAATAGAATTATTAAATTTTTTTTTATGAAAATTTCAGCATTATTACTACTTTAAAGTATTTTAAATGAAATCGATATTGTTCTGTTCCTCAACGCAATTCAAGATCGATAAAAGATCTGTCAACTGTGGTTCTGGTTTTTGTTTTAATGCCACAAATAAATATATGGTTGGCATTGAAAACTGCTTCCACTTCAACCAATGGTCTCTTTGCTTCACCACAATACTCAAAGCTATCATTAAGGCTAATTTCTATATCTAAATGATAAAATAACTCGTTTTAAACCAAACTAACCATGCAAAAGCAATGGTAAACATTCCACTGTTTGTTTGTTTGTTTATACCATTTATATCGGCCATGACACTGCAATCAACCTGCCCTCTACATTCAGTTTCAATCGCGAATTAACTTTTGTCGCCCAATGAAATGTCAGTAATCCGCTAACAAAACTGTGGGAACAAGAGACGTATAGCGGTATTTCTTTTGCTTTTAGTGTAGTTAACAATAATTTAAACTGTGGACCTACTTAAGGGGCCTTAGAACATGAATTGTACTTAATGTCTATACTATATCCAAAAAATAGATGTTTCAATATGATCTCAACGAATCTTCAAAATCAAAATAATTGTTAGTATGATCTAGCATCAAATCGTAGGAGTTGGTAGAAGTAGATATTCAGACTTGTGTATTTTTATTTTTAAAATTCAGACCGACATGACATATCGAATCATATCATAGAAAAATTTCTTATATCAAAAAATATTTAGGTAGTAGTTTTTTTCCTAAATTAG